GTTTAGTCACTATTTAGTGTGGTATTTTTTGACAATATTCACTCATCATGACAGTAAAATAGGGCATTCTAAGTCAATATGCTGCAGTATTTCCTCTCTCAATCAGTAGAAAGTATGGTTAACACTCGATCATGCATGAAAAAAAAAAATACCGTCATGTACCGTGAAAACGGTATAATTTTGAAAAATACTGTGACATAAATTTTTGGTCATACCGCCCAGCACTAGTATTTGTTTGCATTCACTGTGGTGGTACAACTGAATCATGTTGCCTCGATCCAAAAATTAACTGAATATTAACTGCGAATAGTATAAATGATTTGTAGTATGATTTGTATAGATTACATTATAACAAAATGCTGTCCTGTACCAGTCATGAATACTTTACATCTTTCCAAAGCATCCAAACAGGCAGAGAGTTTCAGGAGATTTCCCTTGAAGTTCTGCCATTGACACAGAAAATATGCCAACGCTTAGCAACGCTCTGTCATTTTAAATTTCTTGGACAGTCATACACTTGTGCACAAAAGTAGATCAATTGCGTATTTTATATCTCAGCTGCTGACACAAATACAGTCAAATAAATCCTGTAATGCTTATGGGGGAAAAACTGAAGGAAACGTTTATGCACAAATTCTCAATGGTTAGAATTAAATCAGCAAAAGGAAAAAAATATTCCTTATTCACGGAGAAGAATAAATGAGGATCAATATGTAAAATAAGAAAGCACCAAAATATTCAATGTTCACAATATACTGTATCATATGATGTCAGGGTTTAAATCATCTGCAAATCAAATATAAGACTTTTTTTTATAACTTTGAAGACCTGTACAAATAAAGTTTATATCATATGCCCACACAGAACAAGGACCCGCTGAGACCCCGTAAATGACTGACTGATAACTAAGAAAATTAATTTTAGTTAGTCAGTTTAGTTGCTCAGTTCACCAATATGCAACGTCCATATTGTAAACTTTTATTCAACACCTATTTTGTCAAGTTATCATTTGTTATAGCCTGAAAATTTAATGTTGGTGCATCCCTAAAAAACTGGCAATAACTAAGCAGCTACAATCCCAAAAGAAACAAGAAATCATAAAACTGGGAGTTCCAAAACAGCTGGAGCAGCCAGAGAGAAATTCAGCATGTAATAAGTGATTTCTGAGCTGGTACTGAGCTCTCGACGATTATTTCAAAAGCATGCCCGACAGGACGGCCATTCTCAGGTAAGGATGTGAAATTCCTTTGTTTCTCTTTGATTGAGCATCAGCTGGGAATAAGCACTCATTTGCGGAGTGCAGGGAGGAGGGAAACATAGGTCTAAGATGGGGAGTGTAATTTTCTTGTTTAATGTACCATGCGCAAAAAATAAGATCTTACGTGTTCCTCTAGAATTGTAATTAAGGACACGATGGAAGGGCGGCAAATTATCTCCAGCATCAAAATAAGACAGCTGAATAACTTGGCCTTCTAATATCTTCTCTCGTTCATTTGGGTGACCCTCTCAAGAGTTATTGAGGGATGAAGAAAGAGAATGACATCAGCAAAAAAAGTAGAACATCAAAGAATTGCTACAAACACAAAAAATATACTTCAGTAACTGTCTGGGGACAAAAACCTGTGGAAAACCAGGACAATGTGAGGGAGTACAAGCTAAAGTTGAAGAGTTACCTTGTCTGCATCGACTTTCCCTTTGACAAACTCTGACCTCCAGAACTGCAGGGCCTGTTCCAGAGTAAGACCAATGCCCTTGAGGAAGAGGCCATACTGCATGCGCCCACCGTGCCGCAGGTGGTGGTTCTCTCTCAGTGCCTTGTGGAGATGCCTCATACACAAAGGAAAGGACTTGCCCGAGAGCTGGGGGAAGCGAAGAAAAGAGAAGAGTGATTATTGAAAATGGCTTGATTTATAAATTAGCCAATTTTGAGGTGCAGACAGCTATCAATTCCTTAAAAGACAACAAGCACAGAGTCCACTGTAAACACAAAACAACTGTGACACAATCACAGCCAATCAAGAAATATTTGATTTTAAATGTACAATTATGTGTGATTAGGACAAAAACTCTAATTTACATGGAATAGCTTTACCGCACCTGGTTAAAATGTGGTGAAATACTGATATGAGGATTCAAAACAGAGGCACCAAGTTAAAAAAGTCTTTGATTTAATGCAAAGGCTTTAATTACAAGCGATTTCCATGCATCCATTAATGTTCAAATAAAAGCAAAAAGTGAAGGACAAAATTTTGCATGTGCTGATGAGCCACTTAATTGGAACAGCAACCGGCCCTGAGATGAAATACACACACACACAGAAAGCAGATCTTTCCACAGACAGCTTTCTTCCCTAGAAACATCTGTGCACATCCACACCAACCACCAAAGTAGGACATACTCAATGTCCTAGTAACTTGAGAATTCAGGAAAAGGAAAACTTTAATATGCGCACAAGTCTTAAGTGCCAAATATAAAGCAAGTATGTGCTCCTGAGTAAATTTATTTACCAAATAATTTTTTTTAATTCCCAATAAACATATATACATATACATATACATA